ATTCTATTCTATTCTATTCTATTCTATTCTATTCTATTCTATTCTATTCTATTCTATTCTATTCTATTCCATTCCATTCCATTCCATTCCATTCCATTCCATCTGTTTACATTACAATTTAGTATACACATCTACTCTGGTCACATCTTTAGAAATCAGAGAGAAGTATTTTAGGATTACTCATACAATTCCCCTATGTTCAACTGTAGGAGTTTGAGGAAAAGTAATAAATTGCTTGACTATCTTTTTCTTTATGCTTATTCAGAATTTTAGGATATAATTGGATAAAAACATGTCTTCTGAATAACCTCATATGAAGAACGTTTTTGAGACAATCATTTAAGTTTTATCTACAGCATGTTTAAAGACAAAAACAAAACATCATCAAATCATTGTTTTGTTGCTGTTGTTGTTTCCGCAATACCACATGATGTTGCTTGCTTAATTTTTGAAAACTCTATTAGGAGGAAAACACTACAATCCCTCTTTCCTTCAAAAGGAAAATTGAGCATACTCAAACCATTCCAAGGTCAATACATTTTGAGGTAGAAATACTAGGACAAAACTCTATATTGTTTCAAAAATATTCTGAAGAGTGCATTAGACATTAAAAAAAGCCTCTTCTACCAATGGGCAGAAATAACTGAAAGGAAGTAAGGATAGCAGGGAAGGTAAGTCGTGTAAGCATAAACAGTTTTAGAAGTAAGAAAAAAAAAACCTTGTTTGTCCAGGTCTACATTTCATTTTACATTTTTAAATATTTAGCACAGAATTAATGGATTTATAATAGAAAATGTTCCTTATTTGCTATGTGTGTCTAAGTGTGTTGTATTTTGTTTTCAGATGTTGCTAAATTTTAAAAAGCACATTTAAAATTCTTTGTCTTTAATACTTGTAATAAAATCCTATTACATATTGTAATACTGCTGGGTTTTTGGTTGCAAAATACAAAAATCATCTTGCTTTCTTTGACCTTTGCAAAGAGAGAATTAATCTTTTTTGTTCATGGGCCGAGTTAAAATACATTCACTGCTATTGCATTTTTGGGCATAAACTTGTGGTTATTTCTGCAGGAAGAAGTTCCAAAAGGATATTGCTTCCATTTTTTCCTGTTGGATTTAAAAAAAAAATACTGGGGGGGGGGGGGGGTTTGACATGGACTGACACCTAGGCAACAACTTTTGTGATCCTAGGATGAAAAACAATAGAGCCAAATACTCATTTAACGTTTTCACTGCATTCTATGGTCCTGTCCCATGCAAATATAGGGCAGTAGAGAAATGTTTTGTTCCGTATAACACCCAGAAAAGTATACTAGAATGTTCTGAACGTATCAATTTTTATTAAGATTGCATTTTCCTCTTTTGTGTACACCCCCTAAAGGAAATACCATATTAAGAACAATGGTTCATATGCTCTAAAGAAAAACAATTGGCTAGACTGATTGTTCTTCCACTCTTGATAATTTGGAAAAGCTGTTATCTAAACGTTACCAGCATAATATGTTTTTTTTTAAAGTAGAAGTTGATGGACATGTATGTATGTATGCATGTATACGTATGGCAGGAGTAAGAAGGATGGGGAGGTAATGAGAGAGAAAGAAACTAATTTAACAAGCTGCTTTCTTTCACTGGGTTTTCTGTCCTTTTGTGAAGTTCAATATTATAGAATGTAAGGATAATACAGAGGTGACATGTCTCTCAAATTGCATCAAAACTTTATTGTCAACACGGTTCAACTGAATTCCACAATCTTGCCATTGCATTATTAATTTCCAGCAATCATATTTCAAAGTACTCTTTTCAGCTCGTTCACTCTAACTTAAATACTTTACAGGGAATAAACTCTCTATATTTATAATGAAAAAGGAAAGTTTTACCAAAAATGTATAGCTTGAATAGCCTGTATGTAGAACCAAGCTACTGGCAAAACAACAAATGTCCTATATTAAAAAAAACTATTCTGCCAAGTTCAGAACATCTGTAACCTATCCGAAATATGGCCTCATTTTGTCTCTGTTGTTAGCCTTCCTCCTCTGTCTCATTAATAAAGACTCAAAAGCTTTCTGAAAACAAAGTCACAAATATCAATCATACCTCACATCCGATTGTGTTGCTGTTGTTGTTAATTGTTGTTCTTGTTTCTTATATGCAGGTGAAAAAGATCAGCAAGTGAGATGCAGCATGCCGGAATTATGTGATAAAATGAATTATCAGAGGCAAGCTCAATTACACATCCATTTTTCTCTTCTCTTACCCATATCCCCTAACACACACTTCAATTAATACCTAACAAGAATCTGCAAACTATGCTCCATTGACTAATTAAAGATCAATTCATGTAATTCTCCCCATTTTTAATTAATACAGATCAGGGACTTTCACTGCCTTGGGCTACACAAGTAAATTATACTTGCCAAATATCTGGAGACGTATTAAGTAATAGCCTCATTTAAACCCAAGACACATTGTTCATAAATATTGAAGTATCAGTGGCAGCCATGGCTAGGAGAATTTCTGCATAATTTTACTTTGCATACTAATTATGCTCATTGCTGGACTGGAGATACTGCTTATGTTTATTTATGCCAGTCACCTCCCAAGGTGGATTACTGCAATGTGCTCCAAGACACCATTGATTCCTATCCTGCTAGTCTTTCATAAGCTCCAGGGCCTGAGGTTCTGGAGGTTAGATGGCCCGTTAAAGGACTTTTATTGGTTGTTCTCTTTGGGCTTAACTACTGTTGGTT